CATCAGGATGAGGTGGCTTAATTTACATGTTAATTTCAGTTAATGCTTTTGATTCACGCAGAATTAGAGTAAGCAGAAACTGAGTGGACCCAAAAATCTACAAGAAAGGAATGTTAGCATGAATTAGACAGACAGAAAAGAAAAAAGGGTGTTTTCCCTTGGGAACCCTGAACATATTATATTTTTATGCATATTACTGTAATCACAGTAAGTATTTTCAAGAGAGATTAACAAATCAGCTTAATAAGGTATTTATTTTGTTGTATAGTAAAAAACCCCTGTTATACAGTAACACTTTGGGGCAGAAGAAAATGCATTCAATTATTACAGAAATAGAAAGAAAAATATTTAATCTGTTAATACCAGAATATTATTTTTTTCCTTTTCTATTTAAATAGTTTTCTTCCATCTAAATAGCTACGGATTTGTTTCATTTTTAACATGTGATTTGCAAGACCTGTTTATATGAGCAGTGCAACATTGTATTTTAATTTTTCACATACATTGAGCCCAAATACATCTTATATTTATCACTTACAATAAGCAAAAACTGTAGAGCGCTTTTTTTCTGGAAATGTAGCATCAACATATTATTTAATTACTGCAAGCATATGCCTTTTTTGTGATATGGCAAAACTACACAATTTCATCCAAACATGTATTCAGCTTTCCCAGCTTTATCCTAGCAGAGGTCATGTATCTATCTACATGGATAGTTTGCCATCTTTCTTTCTGCTACTGAGTTTCCTTTGATCACTGTCACATTTGCTGGTTTATTGCAGGGCAATTAATTCTTGAAAATTTAGGACCAGGATGGCCCTCCTCAGTCACCAAGTCCAGCCTCTGTTATCATGGGCAACCACATAAAATAATCTTTCTCAATTAAGCCCTCACAGTTTGCCTTGCATAGTGTTATTCGTTGTGATAGTACATTGGGATACATTCTCTCTGGTTGTTCTGACTGGAGTTGCATGATGGATTAAAAACACCGCTTAGAATCTGTTACCTGTACTTACACTACTACTACTACTTAAGAAAATACTACCTAATGAAAGAATTGCAGGGTCAGTCTCATGCCCCTAAATAGGCAAGACTAGCTTTGAAGCTCTCAATACACTGCATCCAATGAATTATTTTGCCGCAAGCCAAATTTAAAATAGACCTCTCCTGAACAAAACCTGTAAGAACTTGAGTGCTCCCTTCTCCCCACCTGCCCCCTCTTTAGACTGTTCCAGGCCATGTATTTTTTTAGCTTGTGCCGTAAATTTGAACTCTTCTGCTAGCTGTAAGGGTGATTCCAGCATCATGTTCACAATTATTAAAACTCCAGAAGATCAAATGATGGTGATGAATGAGCAAATCATCACGTGCACCAGATTCTGCCACCCTTGCCTCTAAGAGTATACAAATATAGACATAACACCATAGAAGATTATGGAACTCTTAAAAATGTAAAATGTGAGTGAAGGGGAATCACTGCAGATCAAGAAAAGGATTCACTGATAGTGTCCTCAACTGACAAAGTGGCATGAACTCAAGTATCCATTCACTTAAACGGATTACAAAGGAGCCTGACCACCTCACTGACAATTATTTCTGAGTAGTAACATAGGCATAAATTGGATGATGCTCAAGTCAGAGGAAATGTTCACTAACTTATAACCATAGAATCATAGAATGATTTGGGTTGGAAGGGACCTTTAAAGGTCATCTTGACCAACCCCCCTGCAGTAAGCAGGGACATCTTTAGCTGGATCAGGTTGCTCAGAGCCCCGTCCAACCTGACCTTGACTGTTTCCAGGGATAGGGCGTCTAACACCTCTCTGGGCAGCCTGTTCCAGCGTTTCACCACCCTCACTGTAAAAAACTTTTTCCTTATATCTAGTCTGAATTTACTCTCCTTTAGTTTAAAATCATTGCTTCTTGTCCTATTGAAACAGGCCCTGCTAAGTCTGTCATTTTTCTTGTAGGGCCCCTTTAAGTACTGGAAGGCTGCAATAAGGTCTCCCTGGAGCCTTCTCTTCTCCAGGCTGAACAACCCCAGCTCTCTAATAACTGGGTGTATATATCACATCACAAGAGCTTGTATTATTTCACTGACAGCATTCTGAGTACATCTTTACTTAGGTAGATTATACAGCTCTCCCAAAACACTAGTTTATGAGTCACATATCAGAGCCTATTTTACCGTACGTTTTAGAAGTGATGTCAAGATTAAAAAAAACAGGGGTGGACAGGGCTTGCTGTCTTGCTTCCAGACCTTTCGTGTGTACTTGTGTTACTGTAGATATATATGCCCTGAATTCCACAGCTGAAATGTTTTGCTAGTCATGACTCAAACTGGAAAACTGGAAACGATTTTTAAAAACTGACTCAAAGCCCAAAAAGCACAGTAGCAAAAGCTAAACAAGATTAGCTAAGAGTATGTTCAGATATTGACTCAGACACGTCCTAGTAGGTATTTCTGATAGTTAACAGATTCCAGCAGAGAAAAGCATCACAGAAGATTGTGGTTGGAAATCAGGCTAAAACCAAGGCACATACCAGTCACAAAGAAGAAACAATCACCAAAGTATGTAACGAAGCACACATCACTCCAGAGCAGGTATGTTTCTAAGCAGTATGCTATAATTTAAATAGAATATATAAGCTTGATACAGAAATTGGGTGGCCAAGACTCCTTGGTCTTATATCGAAGGTGAAGATGATCATACTAGTCTAGTAAATGCTGACTCTATTTAAGTTAAGGTAAGTTTTCTTGAATATATGGGCAGCCCATATATTCAAGAAAACCAAAGAAAGCATTAATTGATGATTTATATTATGCCTAAGTCTAGAATAACATCTTTTATGTTTCTAGACTAAAATCTTTTTATGGTTGTAGATTGCTAACATATAAAACACTAACTATAAACTTCATATTGGTCCAACACATGTTATAGCATGAGTAATGTATAAATTCTTGTTATGTTGTCAGAATGAGAGATGGGGCCCTACTTTTAAATCACCTGTAAAAACCAGCATAAGGTTTTCAGAGCAGCTCGGCTGGGTGAAGCAGAGCAGGGATCGCAAGGCGCAGCCTAAGTGACAACATCCACAACAGATGATGCATTTCTTACCCACCTCAGGCACTGGGCACTGTGACAAGTAAGACATGACACTAATCACAGCACTGAAGTTATATGAGAATACCTGTGCTGAGTCATGCCAAGGGGTCAGGTAGCCTGCCATCCTGTCCTTTAACCACAAAAAGTGTAAGAAGAGGGCACACACAGCTGTACATCCTTACTACACACTGGCAGCCTCTGGCACTTGTGCCTTAGTTACTTTCCAGACCGGTCTTTAATTGCTGTCAATGAACTCTTTTGCATTGTTTTCAGTTCTCTTTTGACCAAGACAAAGTAGCTTTGTGACTCAGGGGCTTCACACATTAAGTAATACATTCAGAATAAATTGCATGGAAAGGTTATTAGAAGGATTTGGGGATTATCACATTGCATGCTATGGTATTTCTGCTTGGCAGATTTTCCTCTGAGAAAGGGACATAAAGCTAAAAGCAAAACTCATACAGTGGTATCTGCTCTACACTGAAGGTCCTTCAAACAGGTAGCATTTCATATCACTTCTAATAGCTTGCTCATACATACTGCATGATTATCTTTCAAGCATGAGGTTGTATCATTATTTTAAGTCCTCCAGCAACAACTCCCAAGATCTAAACTCATATGTATACCCACACATACACACAACTGTTGTCCTACCAACCAGTCCAGCAATTTAAAAAATATTAAAAATGTGATCTACCTCCAGATATATCAAGCAGCAATACAGTCTCATAAAATAGTAATGCTTCTTATTTTTTGATTACTGGCAGGCATGAGGCATAGCAGCAGAAAGGTGAGTTAGCAAAGACATTCAGACACTTCTCCCTAAAGGCACAGTGACCTCAAGGGTTGAAACCAGCTTTCTCCTACTGAAGTGTGAGCTGGTGTTCCCTTATGCCATTGAAACACCACAGACATAGGGAGAGAGACATAGGGAGAGAATAACTTTTAAAGCAAGGATTTCATAGGCACAGAAAAGTGACTCTGGAAGCTAAACAAAAATGTTTCAGTGAAAAATTGTTTTTATTGCTGCAGCTGTTTCTTAGTTTCTTCCTGACAAACCTGGCTAAAAAGAATATTGTAAAACAAACTCCAACAGTTTGGCAGTTGATTAACAGTATTTACTGTACATGTCACAAATGGCACTGACACCATGGAGGCCTAAGTCCTATAGCATTACATTCTATCAGAAACACTAGACAATCATTTCCAGTTACAACTGCTTTACTTTTCTAATACCAATTACATTTATGTTTGTTTTTTGCATAATACCCCTAGGACAGTCAGAGAGAAACCAATCGTTCATGGGACAGAATCTGTTTGTTTTTTAAGAATCTTGCTGTGCATCTTAAAATCTTTATTTCTTTAAAAAACCAAACTCAATACAATTGGTCTCTTAGTCTTTCTGCAATATTCTTCATGTTGAGACAACATTCACATGGCAAATATGTTACAAGCAAGTTGCTATATTTTGAAGACAACTTGTTTTCATTGACTATACTGACTATACTTCATTATGGCAAATAATTTTCAGAAAGTATAGTTACAAATATCGGGGGTTCGTTTTTTTTAAAAAACATAACACAGAGGCCACCACCAATTACACTAAAACTTCAGCCTGTTATGATTTGTTTTCCTCCAAAAGTAAGGAGATGAAGATCAACAAAAGACTCAACAGAAACTAAATATATTGCACAAAGAGTCAAAATGCAGAAGCCAACCTGCTGGCTCTAGAGAGAGGAAGAATTCAAGCTACTCCAATGAAAGTAAATGGCACTTGTCAGTCAAATTTGGCTTGACTGGGTCTCAGTCTGCTTAGTCTTTCTGGTCTTTTGCTTCACCACTTTGCATTTCCTTTCATTGCTTTGGGAAACGGCTGCAGCAGAGTTTCCCTTCCTAGGGCTGTGTGCTGAAGGAGCTGCAGTTTGTAATCCCCGTGGGCTTGCGCCGGGGGGACCCTCTCTGTAGGTGGTGGGCAGGCTTCACCGGAGGGGTCTCTGGCAGTGAGACGTGGTAGAAGTTCGGTAACCGAATGTCGTACCTAAAGCCTTTCCCCACGTGCACTCTGTCATTCAAGGCATACAGTTTTTCAGCAATGTCGCTCCCAATTAAAATTGAGAACAGGCGGGAGATGAAGCGGTGCTTGGCAAACAGCAGATACAGCTTCTTTCTCCTCCAGGCCACGTACCGGCAATCCGTCTCTGCTGTAAGTGTTACCTACAGAAGAGAAAATTAACATTAGCCAGGTGAGAAGGCGGCAATATTGCTGCTGCTGCCCTTGCTCAGAAAGCACCCTCTCCCTCTCAGCAGGCATGCTGTCTGTGACCGTAACGTACATTTCACGTCTACTGTGATTAAAGCCATTCAATCCAGCCAGAGAGCTCAGTGAGGTCTACTGTACACAAAGACAAGCAAGAAGGGTGACCGGGAACGGACCGAATGACTGCGTCCTGTCAGCCCCGGTGACAGCAGCCCCAGCTGGAAAGGCAGGTCTAAAGAAAGCTCTTGACAAATGCCATTTGCCCTCGTGACACAAGACATCAGATCCCACTGTATCTAGCGTGGAGCTAGCATGGAAGTGAAGTGACAGCTGCGGGAGGGCTCACGGATCACACGGGACAGCTCCAATGGACCCCATGTCCCACACTGTCCCCCCATGCCACAGGCACATCTCTCCCCAGCCCCTGCTCTCCAGTTCACCTCCCATAGGGAAGCCTCTTCAGCACCAACTTCCACCCATCTCCTGCAAACCTGTTTTTTCAGGGCTGGATTTTGGCACAGCCAAAGAATGCAAACAGAGTCTACCTCCCGGATCAGCTTTAAGAAAAGCCCTGTTTGCTGTAACAAGATGCAAACAGAAGGAAGATACAAACAGCATAACAAATCCAGTGGGTAAAGAGGACCTCCCTCCCCAAATTAATGGAACAACACTTGTTTGTATAATTTCATAAACGAAACCCACAACTAAATGAATGTATTTCTAAACCAATTAGTACTTGAACAGTTTTCTGTAGGATTAAAAAAAAACCCAAAACCTTCACTTTTACCTGGAAAATTCCCTCTTCTGTGGGCCTCAGTGAATCCCATTCAGGAGAATCCAGAAATTGAAGAGGAAATATATAATGCAGAAATTCCCCATCAACTGTCACTCTGATCCTACCAAGACAAGACGCGTTAATTTGTTAGTACTACCTGTACAGCAGCAACAACTGCAACAAGAATGTGTTATTTCTACTACGTGAGGAGTTTAATATAGCTTTGAGAGCATGAAAAAATAATCACTGGCCAACAGTATCCCAATTATATTTTTGAATCCAACTTGATCAGGCCAGTTGAAAGAAAATACAGCACAATTGTGCAACTGAAATGGAAATCTTTCCAGGCCTTACTCAAGTCTTATTATTATTTCTGGGGCAGGTCCACGCAGCAACGTACAAGCTTTGTCATGAAAAGGCCAGCATGCACTGGAGAGGTGAAAGACCAATGCACATAACACCATTTGCCTCCTTCACTTGAAGCCATATACTTCTAGGTTTGGCAAATATGCTTTTTAGAGGGAACAAAGTGGCAGAAGCAAGGAGTGGGAAGCAGGAGTTCCTCACAGCATGTGTTAGGTAGGGCTCCCTCAATGTACAACAGGAATTATACAGCCACAGGACTGTCTCTGGAGCCAGGGTATGGGATCTCTGTGTGAATGCTGTGGCCTTCTGCAGATGCTAAAGAAAAAATTCCTTTCTACTTTTTAAATCATATTTAAGTTTGAAGGCACACACAGAGGAAACATGCTTAAACCTCATGAGCTAAAAGAAAAAAAAGCAAGCTGTAGGAGTTCCCTTTTAACATCTGCTCTGCATCCTACTCTCCTTTGTGCAGGAACTCCCTGCATGATTACTAGCAGTCTGGGCATGTAGAAGAATGAACGCCTCTCCTTCAGTATGAATATAACTAAAAGCAACCTCCACGTGATACTTTCTAGACAGCTCCCAAGAATACTCTGAACCAGGGTGTCACTGGGGACAACTACCTAAAACCCCTACTGTTCATTGCAAGTAGCCCTAAATCAGCTGAGTTTCAGGCTGCCTACAAAATTCCATCTATTCATGCAGCAGGCTGTCGAAATGCACCTACAAAGTGTCCCATCAAAGACAGACCATGGCCATCATCTCTGGGTATCCCATCTACTCTTGTAGTGGCCCAGTACTGCAAACCACTTTGTATACAGTACAAAAGCTAGTATTTCCCTTCAGGAAAGCATCAGCAAGGTTGCCAGAAGGGGCTCCAGTAATCAGGGAGTACAAGCAGGTGGATTTATTGCCTCAGGGTCTAACTAAAGCCCACAGTATACAGTAACTGCAGACTCAGTTCTGCAAGTCTTGATAGGGCTCGACTATGCCCACTTGTAATGGAAGGGCACTTTTAGGCCTTCTGCTCTCCTTTACTCCCTCTCTTCTCCCACCCCCCAAAAAGCAACCAAATACAATCTATATCAAAGTCAAGATCTCTACTAAATAGAGCTTTTCTCAGTATATTCAGTTTCATAACTACCTTTTAGTCCTGTTTCAGATTATACTAGCAAAGAAAACCAAGAAAGACGCTGTGTTCATTGGCTAGGCAGTAGACAAATCACAAACAGTAGCCTGAAGACTGAAGTACACGTGTTCCCTTTATCTGCCTAACCAGTTAAGTGCTATGAGAGGGCAGTCTGGAAAAGAATGACTTTAAATATTTTTCTTTATGCTATTACAGATTTTGTGCTTAGTGTTTTTACGCTAGTGCTATCCTAGACAAGTGTATTTAGCCTAGTAATATTTATATTACTTGCATTAATATTTAATTTATGGTACTGGAAAATGAACAAACAATACACAAATCAGACTTTTTTTTCATTTTCAAGAAAGAGGGAAAAATAAAGATATTTGCAGTAACTCTGAACAAACTGATACAAACCTGCCTGACACAAGCAAGGACAGTTTATCAATAGGTGTTTTGCCCTGCATGGCGTAACAATGTTCTTTCTCCAGGGTAACCACTTCTGCATCGCAGCACAAGATGATCTTTCTGTAGACAGTCAAAGAAATTCCTAGAGGCTGGAAGAGAGCACTGTAGAGTTCCTGGAACTCTCTGTCAAAGGAAACACTCCGAACTTGGTAGGTAACGTAAATGAACTGGACGAAGCATATAGCAAACAGTATAAAATTCCAGGAGAATATATCAGCAGCACAGACATCCAGCCAAGCCCAAACAGAAGAGCAGAGAAAGCCCAATCCAAGCAAGCTGAAGACATAGAGAAGCCCAAAGAATCCACTTCCACCCATGAAGCCCACAACAAAGAGAATACTGGCTAGGTGGTAGATAGATCCCTCTGCCTCTTGCTTCCAGGTCGTACATGTAGGATGTGCATATATCAGGCTTCCCCAAAAACTTGCATTTTCTCCCATGGCTGAAATAAATTTTTCAATTCAGATGAATCTTGGAAATTTTTATTCATGAGATGCAGCTAGCGGGGTCCTTTGCTTTTCCATTCTTGCAAACTCTGCTCAATGATCACACAACATCAGGATCTCTTTTGATAGTAAAGTCGCACTTAGGATTTCCAGCAACTAGGAAGCTAATGTTCTCGGAAGGCAATGCTGTTTCTCATCAGTTCATGCATTGTTTTGACTTTGGCCATGTAATCTGTAGCTTCATCTGATCTGGACAAGTGAAGAAAAGACAAATTACTTACAAAATTATTTTCATCAATTAAACTCTATCAAAGCGTTTATTGTCTAAAACCACAGACTGCATTACAATCTTCCAATTCCCCTCGTAGCCCTGTGATTCCAGGATCAAGCCTTAATATTCATTCAATTGAAGATCACGTTTTTATACCTATGAACCCTGTAGCAACTGTCAAATCACCACTGAATCCATGTAAACCTGTACATCCTCAACACCCTGTGACAAGCCTTTCCACAGCCTAACTGATCAGAAGGCAGTTGCATTTGTTCCTCCTGAACCTGCTGCCTGCAGGTCTCATGTAATGCCCTACCTAGCTCTTGGACAAAAAGCAACAGTGAACTCTTGTTCCTTGTTCACCTCCTCCATCTCACTCTGGATTTTGGTCAAACCACTCTCATTAATAAGCTGAGCAAGGCTGCTCTCTGTCCCTGAAGACAACAAACTACATCCCCAAGCACCACAATAAGGGAAGGTCTTTTCTATGCTAAGGATGACATGCAAAAAGCTGTCCTGTATAAGGAAAACTTAAAGGCAGCTTTATACAGATTACATTATTAGAACATGAAGTAAGTAGTCCTGCAAAATACTTCTCAAAAGGCATTTACAAAGCAATTTTATAACATTTGAAGTTCTACCTTGTATAATTTATGCCATGGACAACATAATTTTCTTGTTCAACACTGTAAATTGTTAAACATGCTATTTGTTTCCATATGATTATATATTCCTAAGAGTTAAATAAAAAGTAAAACACACAATGAAAAAGCACGCTTCCTATGTCTGTCTTTTAAAGTAAAAATACATGCTTCAATGTGAGATTAGACATGGTAGAAATTGCAAAGCCAGAGTCTGTCAATATTGCAATCAGGACTGAAACCCACCAAGTCTTTAAATGTCCAGTTCTTTTCCTGGTAAAACAGCAGGGAAGCTAAGAAATATCTTGCTATCTAAATTATTAGATTCTCTAGAATAATCCAAATTTTTTTTCTTCCAAGAGCCACAGAAGTCAATACTCAAAAAGTACTGCTTGTGCAGTGAAGCATCCAACAGCATTCAGTGGGGCTTTCAGTGGGTTTTTGGTTTTTTGTTGTGGTGGGTTGGGTTTTTTTGTTTTGTTGGTTTTTTGTTTGTTTGGTTTTTACAATGACAGTTCTAAGAAATTAATAAAGCAAAGTCATATCACATTTCATATCTGCTACAGCTTTACTTCTTAAGTTTATTCAAGCCCCAACATTGATTCCATGATTCGAAAACACTAATGCCAAATGAAGACATAAAATCCTAAACAACTGAGCAGCACAATTTGGAAGAAAAATGTTAGGAGGAGAGCTCTCCCTCACTGCAAGTGGCAATGTGGAAGTCACTGACCCATAAAAATATCACAGCTGAAGAGCACAGAACCTCTCCAAATCAAAAGTGCTCAATACTCTACTGCAGCGGAAGAACCAGCATTACAAGAATGAAGTAGTTTGTAACGATAAGCTTTTCTGTTTCTCTTTACCCAGAGAATCTTCTCCTGTACTGGATTCCTCCCCAGACACAGGATTTAGCCCTTGGAGAATGGGAGATGAGAACTGCATCAGCTACAAAGAAGTCATCTAGGCATGGTAAGAGCATGAGGAATTTAGGCGGTACTTCTGTGATCCAGGGGTAAGATTTCTAAACCAAAAAGGAAATAAAACTGGAACATGCAGTTCCCAGACCTTGTGATCTGAATCCAGTCAGCATGTCCACTGCATGGTCAAAAATTCACAGCAGAAGTTTTTGTTTGATTGATTGTTGTGTTTTTTCTTTTTAAATAGAATCATTTATAACAGTGATTTTGGATTATTATTAATACTTCTACTCTATTGCCAACACTTTGCTCTAAGCAGTTCTCATGAAGACCCTATTTTCTACAAAAAACTCTGTTTTGAATGGAACCATTACTGAGAAGTTACTTGGGAAGCTGTATGCATGCCACAAACAGAACCACTGTGGATCCATGCTGTAATGTATTTTCCATTACTAACGTCTTTTTGTCATGTAAATAATTTTACATGACACTGCAACAATTTCACAAAATTTATGTTCGATTTCCAATTCGCTTATAGCATTCACAGTCTGCCCACACTACGGTTCATATCATTGCTGTAAAACATCTATTCATGACAAGATGGGTCAAAATAATTTGGAAAGAACAGCACACCACTGGAACACAGATAGATGGTCATCATACAGAAAACTAAGGCCCTAGAAAAACTGTCCCCTATTTGTAACTGTTTATTTTCGGAATGGGACCTGTCTTCCAAAACCATTGTGTGCAAAAATCCCACTTATTTCAGTAGTTCTACATGACGAGAACTTTCACTGTGCTACAGCATCACCCAGGCTGGAGAGCACCTCCTTCCATCTGGACAAGACAGAGGGCAAAGGAGGGAGGTCAGTGCTAGCACAGAACACAGCCTCACCAACACAACACTCCTCCGAGCTACGCAAGGTGTGCAGGCAAAAACAAACCTCTGGAAATACCGACAAAGCCTATTACTAAATGGAGCTGGTTTCTCAGGGATACAGTGAAGAGCAGGCACGCTTGCTTCCACTGAACTGCAGGCAGAAAGAGAGGATACACCTCTTTTTAATCAAGAAATTATTCTAAGATTTGGGAGCCAAAAACTCTTGGTAGTTTTTTTTTTAATGAAGTATTAAATAGAGCAGAGACAATAGTATGTATGGGCCTAAGTACAGTAAAATTTTGAATTTTGATTGGTATTTAGTGCTAGATAAGGCCTTTCACATTGTTCTTTATACTGTCTACAAGTCCAAAATTTAAATCCTTGAGGACTTCAGAACAGCCACTCTAAGCCATTCACCTACTGCAAGCAGGTGCAGGGGGAGAAAAATCCCCCAAACCAAAAAAACCCAAACAGCTGCAGTACCAACTGTGAGTCATCCTCTACTGAGGACATGTCTACAAAGTGCCCACAGCAGCACAGCATTACTGAGGTTGTAAGCACCCGAAGGGAACACCACCCTTTCACTGAGATGCTTTGGCATTCTTAGCTACCAGGACAGGGAACATGCCAACTGACACGGTCTTGCTTGATGTCCTGCTTCAGCTGTCCTGGCTGGGGCAAACAGTTACTGCTACAGGTTCATTTGATGGTGGTGACCACGCAAGCTTCAGCCAGAAACTGCACTCAAAGCAGGTATCTTTGATTACAAGCCTAAAGAACTGTATCTTCCTCAAGCAAAAGTTGAATACTTTCTACTCTGTCCCCTGCCTACAGAGGAGAAGCGGCACCACGCACAAGCGGTGTCTGCTATGTGATTACTATACTCAGAATAACACAACGTTGACATCTGTTGGCTGCCAGAGCCAGAGGTGTGTGGAAGAGGTCTCCTCCCAGCTGAGGAAGAAGACAGGCCCTGCCAACACAGGCTGAATTACTGAGACGCTTCTGAGTGTTTTGCCCCACCACACATCCCACCCTCTCCAGCAAGTACTGGGAAGAATCAGCCCAGACTAGAGATGTAAGCAATATACACCAGCATGGACTTCTTTAAAACAAACAGCAGCATTGCTGAAAGGGCTAAGCTGTCATCAGAAAGTGTTAAAATCAACGAGTTTGCTAGAGCTTCAAGGCAGTAAGTGGAGTATTTCACTTACACTCTCCAAAATAAAATACCTGCCAGCAACTTAGAACTTCATATAAGCAAGCATACTAAAACAGTCAAAACGGAATTGTAATTTAAATGCATACAGTACAACCTCCCCCTCCCCAAATGGGCATTTTCCCCATACACTGTAGTATTCCCACAAAGAATTACCAATTATGTACATTTTTAACTTGCTTGAGGACTGGATACTTCACCCTATTTTTGTCACTGATGACTCAAATTCAACTCTAAGAAGCTTTGAGTGTTCGTTAGTGTCTGGATCATAATAATTTCTACAAAAAACAAACCCTAAAAGCCCTGAGGCCGCTAGCAGTTCTCTCTTTGGTCTTTTTAATTAAGTCAAAAGTAAAGCTGTTCTGAGTTTAAATACTCCATTCTTTAGTTGTCTTATCCCAAGTATTCAGGCAGAAAGCCCTCAGCACTTCCACACTGTACATGTTGACAGGCCATAGAGCCGTACGTGCTGATTGTGTAACCAGCCTGGATGAATTGTTTGCTGCAGGTCTGGAAGCAAAAGGGAAGATTTTCCTTTACAGCATATATGCTTTCATGTACAAAATGAGATTATGCTGGATTTAGCAGGATTTGTCTCACTGGTTTTAGCGATCTACAGCATAGATGTTTATACATGGGCTAGTGGCCACAGCCTGGCTCAGCAATCAGCAAAGCTGCTCCAACAACTGCGCCGGGAATCAAGCAGTCCCTCCAGTCAAGGGGGGCCCTCCCGGCCTTGAGACCCCCCCACTTTCAGAGGGATGAGCTCTCAGCACCCTGTCTAGGCTGGCAAGTTATGTGTTGTCTGGCCATCATTTAGATGTATAAAAAGAAGCTGCTCCTTAATTTTAGCATGCACTTCCTCTAACATGCAATGTAAATGCATATGTCGATTAACGCACCCCTTCCTTCCACTGCCCCTATGTGTCTGAAATCTTCTCTCTGGTCCCCTGCTGACACCTATTGCCCTCAATGGTCACTCACATAGCACCCGTTCCCCAAGCTACCTTCCTTCTGACGTTGTTCATTTAGGGTTAAATACTCAAGGGGACAGAGACAACCAAACTCTTAATTGCAATACAGTGTCTAACTCTGTGCACAGAGGAGCTA